GACGGATTTGTCCGTTCGTGCAAACCAGAGGAATCCGGAAGAGCGAAAGCAGCGATTTTCCACTCCGAGGGAGCTNTTACAAAATGGCGCCCAACGTGGGGCCACGCCAAAACGGAGTACGAGAACCTCGGAAGTGAGGAGAAGAAATCAACCTAGTGGTGATCCGGGGGAAAAATTTTACTTTTTCCCCGAAAGGAAAATAATTATCCCAGGGATAAACCAGAGAAAAATTAGTAAACAATTTTTCCGGGAGTGACGGATTTGTCCGTTCGTGCAAACCAGAGGAATCCGGAAGAGCGAAAGCATCGATTTTCCACTCCGAGGGAGCTTTTTCCGTTGCGCCGAACGCTGTTCTCCTCATTCGCCCGGGGGAGGAATGGCCTAGGAGCCGGCAAGGGGCTTTTTCCGATGGGAAATATCGAAAGAAACGGGAAAAACAGAAAATAATTAACCGAAACTGAATTATCGCTCGGTTGGTATAACAGTCACTCCTCCGGAGGTAACGTTACCGACCGACGGTGTTCATAAGTATAGATTCCGCCCGCAGGGGCGCGCCACTTGACGGGCCTAGTCAAGAGGCGAAAGTTTAAATATCTGCGATTGACAGGTCATCTCAGGTATTTAAAAGAGCGCGCTCATATGCAAATATGGGTCGAATGTTACCAGGGGGGACCACCTGTGGCGATTTCCTAATTGCGATGCGCCCTTTAATCCCCCAACCCCGAGTCCTGTCGAATTCGGGGTATCGAGCACGAGGAACGTTCTTTTTCGTTCCGAACCTCATCCCGTACGGACGGAATTCTTTTGACGCTCGACGTTATTAAGTAGCACGCGGTGAACAACCCGGTGAAGCAATGGCCAAGGACCAAGTGTTCGACGGACTGGCTCAGAAGGTGGTGGAGACCGCCGAGGAGGCTCTCAAGGGTAAGTTTGACCCACAGGGAGAGGAGAAGTACCTCGACATGGAGGTCGAGGAGTTAGTGAACGAGGCCCCGTTGCCGAAGGGCGAGGGGGACTCGTTAGTGTTACGAGAGTTACCCGAGTTGACTGTAGTGCATTTTTCAGATCGGGAGCTCTCGGATGAGGAGATGGGCGACCTGGAGGAACNGAGGACACTCCTGGCGCATCTGCACAGAGCCGAGGACAGTCTTCTGCTACGTGTGTGGCAGGAAGGAAGTGCATTTCCCACAGTGCCCAAGATACAATCCGGGAAACGCCGAAGCGACAANGCAGGTGTCGGCAGCGGTCCTTACGCCGCCTCCTTCGGCGACACCCACATCGTCAGAGGCCACGGCCACAGCCACGCCCGCGGTGACGCCCACGGCCACGCCCGCGGCTACGCCCACCCCACCTCAGGAAGCGGTGCTCCAGAAGGAGACGGATAAGGCAGCGGGGGAACCCTCTTCCCACGAGGATGCTACGGCCACTNTGGGACTGAAGGAACCAGACCGATACGAGAGGAGCTCTCGGAGGCTGAAGTTAGAGAAGGGGAGACTGAATCCGCTCAAGAAGAAGTACGGGCACCCATAGATGGCAGGAGTAGTGGAAGCCTCACTCTGGAAGCCATGACGGACCCCCTGAAGCTAGCTNAGCGGTGCTCCAGAAGGAGACGGATAAGGCAGCGGGGGAACCCTCTTCCCACGAGGATGCTACGGCCACTCTGGCGAGGGCTGTCGCTGAGGCGCTCGCCACGAACCCTCAGCTCCTCGCCAAGATGGCCGAACAGTTTCTCCCCCACCTGAATCGGGGACCTTCGACCTCCTCGGCCCTGCCGGGGAATCAGAGGGACCTGACGATGGGAAGGGAACCCAAGCAGAGGGAGAAAAAGGCCTCACGCCCTGCCAACTCTGACTCCTTGAAGACAGAGAGGGAGATACGCCAGGGGATCCTGGCGATGGGAGCCGAAGGGTCGGCGGGGCCNGAGATAACAGTAGAAACGCTCTGGATGGCCTCGCTGTCCGAGGATTTCATTCTGGGATTAGACTTCCTGAAAGAAGCACGAATGGTCATAGATTTTTTCGACTAGTCCTGGTTCTTCAGAGACAAGCCTGAAGACCCGTTCAAANCGATGGGAGCCGAAGGGTCGGCGGGGCCTCTCACCGCCCCGAAGATCCCCAAGAGAAGCACTCCTGTGGACAGTGGCAGCGTCGACAGGAGTTCGGAACTCGAGAGGGATGCTCGTGGGGGTGAGGAGACCCGTGAGAGGAGAGCCCGTGTGAGTCTGCTGCCAGCAGGCCTGTGCTGGAACTGCCGTCGGCCAGGACACGAGGGGAAGAACTGCCCTACACCTCTGACGGTTTATTGTTGGAGGTGTGGATGCCCTGGGAAGGAAACCAGGGACTGCATCCCCTGCCAGGAGGAGGAGAAGAGACGGGGGCCTTGGATTACCAAGCGTGGCCGCAATGTCCCTCGGGACATCCTCAAGGCCCAGGCGAAGGGGGCCAAGGAGAGAAGGCAGAGGGAGGGGGCATCATCATCCCTTCGCTCTGAGGAGGCTCGCAGGAGGAGACGCGAGATCAGGAACCTGCGTCGAAGGGCGCAGAAGTTGCACCTGGAGGAGGAGGAAAAGCCCTCCGAGGAGAATAGGGGCCCAGGGTCCACCTAGAGTGGACGGATGGTCCCGGACAGCTGCACTGGGCACAACGGAATAGATGTTTTTTTTTTGTTGTTGTAGGAATCGTGCCCGGGGAAGCTGAGGAGAAGAGTGGCCTGAAAAGGCCACCTGCACCATGAGAAAGGGTGAGAAGAGGCGCTCAAATGGTCTGAAACGACCATGGGGCGAGTAAGTGTCATTTGAAGGGCTGAATAGCCTGGAAAACGAGTGTTAGGGGCGAAAGCCCCACACAAAAAATTCCACGGGCACGTGCTCTGACACCTCCGAGTGTTAGAAGCACGAAATCGGGTAGTAGGCGACATCTAACGCCTCCCCGACGGGTATTTCCACGACAGGTAACTGGCCAGGGTAACTTATCCTTGGTCGGTAACTTGCCGTGGTCAGATCGGCGGTCGGTAAAACATACCGACCGATGGAACCACGCCGATAAGTGGCACGCCGTTTGAAGGTAACTCCTTGAGAGAAGGGACTCCAACAGATGGCGCCACTCTACCCGAATTCGAGCAACCTGCGAACAGTTCGAATTTTAACGCGGAAAAATTCAAACAGAAGCGCGAAAGGAGGGAAATTCAAATTTCTTCCACTTTCGGAGGCCCTCGAAACCCGTCTCGGAGGGTTCCGAGGGGACATAGCGGGGTTTTTCCACGTATTTGACACCCGGGGCATCTGGAGAAGTAGCAGAGCACCCAAAATAGAGGGCGCTGCGGAGATTAAGCGGGGTAATCGGAAGATCTTCCCCGAGAATAGTAGTTTTACGAGGCTTTGGGGGTGATGCCGTAAGCAAGAGGTATCCGGGAAGCTTCGAGAGCAGAAATCGAGTAAAATCGAGAGGGCGCTGTCGAATGACGTCGCAGCGGAGTGGGGATAGCCTCCCACTCCTGGGAAACGGGTATAAAAGGGGCTGCAGAAGCCCGAGAAGCTCTTTTTCTGCTACGAGACGTTAGGCTCAATAGACCTGCTGCTCGATCAGGAAGTTCTGTTGCATTTGAGAAATGCCTGTGAACCCGGAGGAAGAAACGTCGAGAAAATCGACTAAAAGGGAGCTCGAGTCCCAGACGAGAGGGGACTCGAGGGAGAACACGGAAGGGGAACCCCGACCGGAGAAGAGTGATCCCCCCGGGGGGGAGTACGTCGAAATCCTGGAGCATCGAGCCCCAGGGTCAAGCGGCAGGAAACGTGGCGAGGAGGATAACCTCGAGCGGATACCAAATCCGAATCAGGGAAGAGGCGGGTAAACCCAGGAAGTAAAGATTGGACCCTGCCGCTCCCAAAGGCACCTACTCGGGTGGGGGAAGAAGAGTTCTTTTCTCCTGCAGCGACACCCGGAGGGAAGGAAGAAGGAACAACGAGCCTGTCGGCAAATCCGGCCGTGTTAAGGGCCCTCCTGGAGCAAACTAAGCTCCTGGAGGAGAGAATCAATGGCTCTGGGACGCTAGAAGCACCCCCCTTTCCTCGGAAGAGGGGTAGGCCCCCAGGCTCTGGGAAGAAGAGTGGCAAGAGCAGCAGAAATGCTAGTGGCGCCACCACGCCTACAGGGGAAGCCCCCGGGGTGACGGTAACAGAAGCCACCCCGACGCCAGCAGAGCTGTTGGAACGGGTTGCAGAGATTAGACAGAGAGTTACGGGGCCGAATAGGCCCTATGGGAATGGCCTCTGGAGGAAGACCAGGCCAGACCGAAACGTAGTGGAGGCCTGAGACGAGAGAGGAGCAACAGCCACCCCGAAGGAGTCCATTCGAGGAGATGAGGAATAACTCATCGAGGCGAGGACGTTTTCGGACCTTCTCGGAGAGCAGTGACGGAGAATACCGCCCCCGGTGGGACACATACCTCAACACCCAAAAAGCCCTGGAGGCTTTGAAGAAGTGGGGAGTCGAGTTCGCCGGACGCAAGGATGAAGATGTCGAGGATTTTATATCCCGTGTAGATGACGCCAGGGAAACCTTGCGAATCAAGGAAGACGACCTCCTAGGAGTCTTGAGAGGGTGTCTGTCAGGAGTGGCACTGACCTGGTATCGCCAGGTGGAAGTGTACTCATGGGAGGATGCGTGCCACGCATTCAGAGAGAACTTTGGGGAGCTAGACTATCAGGTAGATCTCCATGAATGGATAGCCACACGTCGCCAAGGCGAAGATGAGCCAGTAGCGGAATTCATGGCGAATTTAAAGGGTCTGTTCGCACGAACGAACCCCCCATGGCCTGAAGCACAGAAACTGACGTACATGTACCACAATACATTGCCGAAGTACAAGATCGGGTATAGCATCAGTGCAAACTCCACACTGAAATCGCTGGAGAAACACGCGATG